TAAGGCCTAGTGCTAAGCACATATTCTACAACTACCCTCAGGCCTTACGTGCACCACACATCACAGCTTTATACTGATATCTTTCAAACTGACATTTCCAGCTCAGACTAAAAACACATGCCATTATACACTGCCTGACTGAACTGTTCCCTGGGAAGGGGTTAAGAAGCATGTAAAATTAATAATGTTCAAAGTCAAACTCTTGCCCTTGTCAACCAAATCTGCCGGTCCCTCTTGGTCCAGCACCGCACATTATGTTCTACGTGAATGGCAGCAGTGTGATACAAACATTATAATTTCTCACTTTGGAGAATATCAGCTACTCACATTTGATTTTAGACCAAAAACTCTAGTGCCACGACTCCCCCTGCATACACGGTGTGACAAGCTCTCCTCATCTTTCCACTCATACACTAATGCAAGCACGTATCTCTCAAGTTATCTTGTTCACCTCATATCCTGTCAACAGTACGAGTTACTTAAAACCTAAATCAGAAAATAATGTTAGTCTTCTGCTCAAAACACTCTTATGATGGGCTGGAGAGACGACTCAGTGGTTAAGAACACATACTGCTCTTGAAGAGGCCCTGAGTTTGATTCCTAGAACCCACATCAGACACTTCACCGTCACCTGTGAACTCTGACACCGACTTCTTAACTCCATGGGCAATTATACTCACATGAACACACACAGTTAGAAACGACTCCCCCAATGTGTTGTGGAAAAATCTTTTTGTACACTGTGAAGAAGTGTCACTCTGGTTGGTTTATTAAAGAGCTGAACAGCCAACAGCTAGGGCAGGATTTCCAGACACAGAGGATACTAGGAAGAAGAGGGGAGGAATCACCAACCAGACACAGAGAAAGCAGGAAATCAAAGTGAGCCCAACTGTGAGTGAAGGTAATAAAGCCACAAGGCAGGAAGTAAATGAATAGAAGTGGGTAAATTTAAGTTGTAAGAACTAGTCAGAAACAAGTCTAAGCTATCAGCCAAGTGTTCATAATTAACAACAAGTCTCCATGTGGTTATTTGGGAGCGGGCAGGTGGGACACCAATGGCTTACCACCTTCATCAGAATAACTGTCTCCAAAGTAACATATTCATCTAGCCCTCACTCAACTGCTGTCTCTTACACATAGCCCTTTCATCTAATTTAGAAAAACATAATTCACTAGCCTTTGCTCACCTGTTCCTGAATAAAACACATTTCCCCAAAATACCTTAATACAGTGGTTCTCAATCTTCCTAATGCTGGGTCCCTTTAATACAGTTTCCCATGTTGTGGTGACCCCAACCATAAAATTATTTTATTTTATTTTTTTTTTTATTTTATTTTTTTTAAGTTTTTCGAGACAGGGTTTCTCTGTGGTTTTGGAGCCTGTCCTGGAACTAGCTCTTGTAGACCAGGCTGGTCTCGAACTCACAAAGATCCGCCTGCCTCTGCCTCCCAAGTGCTGGGATTAAAGGTGTGCGCCACCACCGCCCGGCCATAAAATTATTTTAATTGCTACTTCGTGATTGTAATTTTGCTTCTGCTATGAATGTAAACATCTGTGTTTTCCAATGGTCTTAGGGTACCCCTGTGATAGGGTCATTCAATCCCAAAAGATGTCACAACCCACTGCCCTCATGGTATGCAGTCTCACCTCCTTAAGGATTTTGCTTCTCAGTTAAGTCTTCTTGATGATCCAATCTAAAACTGAAGCCCCTCTACACCTCATGTCCTCTGATCTCCCCCTTTAGTTTTCATAATACTGCTTAGCTCACCTCACTGGAACATTACAATCTGTGGGGGCAAATCTCAGTGCATGTTTACTGTTATTTCTCCAGCAACTAAACCAGTGCTAACACATAACAGGCACTCAGTATACTCACTGCATTACAGCACAACACTGCAGATGACAAGAATAAGATGTTAGTCTACAGAAAACAAACAAGTCCAACTTCCCCTGACAACTCAAGGAAGCAGAAGAAGCACAGGCTCGGCAATTAAGGATTAAAAGGAGGCCATTTTGCTAGACCAAAAAGAGTAGAAAATGTGTTTAGAAGCAAGAAAAGGCAACATGATGAAGAGATTCACAGATCCTGTATTGATGTGAACACATTTTCAATGTTGCTTGCCATGAGATAGAGAACAGATCCCAGGGGTCAGAACAGAGTAGAAGCTCACTGTGATCGTTTATCTGTATTGTCAACAGAATGGACTTAGTCACTCAGAAGATGAAGTAGCACATGTCCAGGAGTGCCTGTGAAGGTTTTCCAACAATGACCAAGTAAAAGACCCACCCACTCTGAATGAGGAGAGCACCATACCCGGGCTGAGGGGCCTGCTGAGTGCCAGCACACCCCTCTGTCTAAGGCCTACAAGATATCAACGGCTCTGGTTCACCACGCCTTCCCACCAGGCAGATGGGACTTTGTCAAACCACAAAGCTCAAGTTGGTTCTTGTGGGTATCTTGGGCATGGTGACTAGAAAAGTGACCAGTATCTACACAGATCAAGTGAGAGGGCACTGCAGAGACCCAATGGAGAAAAGATGGTTTCTTAGATTGGGGAGCTGACATTAGAAAAACTAGGTATTTATTAAGGTAGGACAAAATCAACAGAGCTGAGCACAGTAGTGGATACCTATAACCCAGAACTAAGGAGGTGGAAAAAGGGCAATCAGGTCTTATACCTTCAGCTATATATACTGAGTTCAAGGCTAGCCCGGGCTACCTAAGACCTTGTTTCGAAAAGGGTTGGGGAGTGGGAATCAAAGGGATTGTGCTGAAGAAGAAGATTGTGTGTGAGGAAATAAAGTCAAGGGAAACTTGAAGGTTCACAAAGTATTATTCACTGTCCAAAGGTAAATGATAAATCCTCTCAGAATGGAAGTCTACATCTTCAGCTAACATCCTAGTGTACAATGTACAGAACACCTGAAAGGAAGCTACCCCAGCTAAAAACATGCAGTAATCGAAAGGCAACTCTAGAATCATAAAACTTAGCACAAGGGAAAAGTATAAAATATCTGAATAAAAACCTATGCCGATTATAAGCATACTTTGGATATTGTAGGTTAAATAAAATCACCTATTGATTTTACCTATTTCTTTTTACTTTATAATGTAGCTACTACATGATGCACAGTTAAATAAATGATACTAGATTTCCATGGGTTATCATGAGTCACGTGAAAGAGCAATTATAAATGGGTTTAGTCAAAAGAAAAATTATTCTTAGAAGACTTAAATTCTAGGGGAAGGGATAATTTTTGCCAAGATAACAGAAATGAATATCCCAGAGCTTTTTGTTTTGACCATTGAAATACAAAAACCATTGTCTGCCCATTATTTATAAAGTATACAGTTCTTCTTTGTTTACTATTAATCCGATAGCTCTGCTTTTGAAGCCTTCTGCAGTGTAGAGAAAGACACTCAAGAGGCCTGTGGAAAATGACAGGGACCAGAGAACATGCAGGCAGCTCTCCTGTCACTTGATAGGCAGCAAAGTTGACATACTAACACATTACATAGCCTACCTAGGGAAAAAACAATCATGATAACCTGTTTATACCTTAAATGTAATGCTTTATTAGTTATTGGAGTGCTTTAGGTCACTATAGATTTGTATGTAACACAACAAGTACTTCTCATTATTCCCAAAAGAACCAACCATGAATTATCAAAATGGCTTTGTTTGGAGGTCAAAAAAATTAAGTTTATAGTCTTACTCACTAAGAGCAAAAACTGTCTTCTCAGAATCTAAGCCTAGTGCCAACACCGAGCTATTATTATAGTTTAGATATGACCTGAATGTGTCCCCAAGGGCACATGTGCTAAGGCCAAGTCTCCAGTGCAGGGAGACAGGAGAAGTAGTTAGAGGTGGAATCTTGTACAAAGGAGTCAGCGCAGGAGCACTCAAGGAGTGGGGTAGTTCTCCGGGAGTGGGCTGGCACGAAGACCACCACACTTGGCCGTTTCACACAGCCATTTCCTTTTCTACGTTACTGCCACATTGTGAGACAGCCCATGGGACTTTCACTTAAGGTCCTGAACTGCCAGGCTCTAAAACTTTTATGTAAATAGACTTCTTCTATAAAAAGTATCCAGCACCAGGCATTTTGCTATAGCAATACAAAGCAGACTAAGACAGTTGTATTTAAAAAATAACTTCACTATTCCCTCATCAATAAAACAAAAATATTACTATACACAGGCCTTAAAATGATAAACTATTCTGAACATGGTGATGGATACCTTTAATCCCAGCACTCAGAAGAGAGAGGCAGGGGAACTCTGTGAGTTCGAGGACAGCCTGGTCTACAGAGCGAGTTTTAGCAGAGCCAGGGCTACACAGAGAAACCCTGCCTCAAAAAACCCAAAAGATAAACTATAAACATATTCTAACACACACACCCGTGTTTACAGAGAGTGGGCAGATATGTACCATTAGTCCTTTTTTTTACTGGGGGGAAATGTGTTTCCTGGTCCTCCTCTAGAATATCAACCCAGCGCTGCCCAGCCTGGCCAGCTAAGTTCATGCTCCACAGGAAGGTGGAAAGATTTCACTAAAGTTATTCTCTGACCTCTGCAATGCCCCCACACCACTTACATCATGTGAGCACACAGAGTAATTTTTAAAATTTAAATAAGCTAAAATAACATAATCACATATAAAATTAAGGTAGAAGGTAAAATTACTAAATTATGTCTAATTTTCACCTTCCTATTAAAAAGCCTCAATCCTCTGAGTAAATCATTTAACTTCTATAAGTCTATTTACTTCCTTCAGTAATGAAATCAAATTAGTTGACTCAAACATCCCACTTATGATTAAAAAATGTACTATGGTGAGTGTTGTATGAGTCTCCAAGGACTGAATAAAACATAGGTAAGTTATAAGCTTCTGACATCTATGATTAATATGAAATACATTTTGAATTTCTTAAACATCTTAAGATAACATGGCTAAGCATTCTCTGTATTCACAAGGAATCTTCTTAGAACTACTTACATCCGGCTGAATAGCTTTAAACACTGGCACATCCATTAGTGTTATCTGACCCTGAAAGACAAAGGGGGTTTTATTTCGTTCTGAATGCCAAGTTCTTTGGAACCCTATGATACGAAATTTGTTCAAAATAAAAGAAATAAAATTTCTACTCTATACTAAATTACAGAATATACAGTCTTTAAATACTTACAGGGAATAGAAATCGCAGTCTTTCTGCCATTACACATATTACTCCTAGTTATCGCATCCCTAGGGAGGCCAGTAGAGAGAACTTCTGGGCACTACCATCCATCGATGGAACAGCAGTTCTCTCAGCACTAAGGCTGATGTCAATCCCTCGTCCCCACGTGGCAGAGGCAAAGAACAAACTCTCAAGCTGCCCTCTGACCACACATGTACCATGGTGTATGTGCCCCCTTCTCATACAAATAAACAAATCCATGTTAAAAAACAAAACAAAACAAAAAAACTTAAGAGAAGCAATCAGGAGAGGGTAAACACACACTACAAACAAGAACACTGTTCCTGGAATGCAGAGTGGTTTAAGACTAAAAAAGCAGTTTATTTAGTTAACAAAAGGTAAAGAAAGACCTAAATAAATGAACATTTATGTCAGCAAAAAAAATTTTCTAGAGGGCTGGAGAGATGGCTCAGTGGCACTGGCTGCTCTTCCAGAGGTCCTGAGTTCAATTCCCAGCAACCACATGATGGCTCACCACCATCTGTAATGAGATCTGGCGCCCTCTTCTGGCATGCGGGCATACATGGAGACAGAATGTTGTACACATAACAAATAAATAAATAAATCTTTAAAAAAATTTTTCTAGATAATTCATGATAGTCTTATGATTGAGAAATCACATTTTCCAATTTTTAAATTCACAAAATAGCAAAAAGTACTTTTGAACATACTAAGGTGGTTTGAGTCAGCAAAGGAAGAAATAGGTACGTATCCATTCTTTACCAGATGGGGGAACAAGAAACTGCCCTTTAAGAAGGAAGCTGCCCCTCCACCTCATCTTTCTCTTGCTCTACACTTGTGCTAGTCTCCAGCTCTAACTCAGTCACAGTAACTCAAGTATATGAACTGCGTGCAAATACTGGAAAGCTAGAGGCAGAAAGCTTACCGCGTATTCTTCCGGCGTAACCTTAAGAACATCAAATACCACTGCATCAAAGCTTTTCTTCAATTCAGAGCCCTTCTCACTTAGCGACTCAGAGCTGCTACTTTTCTGTCAAAGAAGAAAACACAGCCCTTAGACACTGTCTCAGCCAGGGTCACACAAAGAAGACAGTCCTCAAAAACTGAGGACCTAACTTGGAGCCTCCAACACTCATGTAAAATCTAGGCAGAATGTACACTTCTATAACCCCAGTGCTGGGCAGCATGCAGAGAAAAGAGGACCCATGGAATTTGCTGGCCAATCAGACCAGCTGACTCATAAGCTCTGGGTTCAGTGATAGCCGCTCTCAAAATCAAACTTCAGAGTGAATGAAGATACCTATATGCAAGAGCTTATGTCTACATGCACATGTGTACAGCCATGTGAACATAAACATACACACACACACACACACACACACACACACACACACCCGGCAAACACCGGAGCTACGAACACTGTGTAATAAAAGATACAGAAAAGGTGAGTAGAGCATGTTGCTTAGTTGGAAGAATGCTATATAAAGAGTCAGAAAATTTGAAAGCAATGTTGAATTTCCATTTTTTAGGTTCCTATGTAAGCTACACTACTGTATTTTTCTTCAATAAACATTCTGATGTTCCCTAGTTGCAGAAGAAGGGAAAGAAAAGAGAACACTGCACATCTACAGTCATGCATCACCTAACAATTCAGATACTGTCAACGTGTTGTTAAGCAACCTTGTCAATTATCACCACAGTTTACTCACACAGTCCACAATGGCTACAACATGATCACGGCACCCATACACAAAGTCGCTACTGATCAAAATGCCATTATGCAAGGCATGACTGTATTTGTAACTTTAAAAACTAGGAGAAACAGAAAATACTCTTGTAATATAAACTACAAGATAATATTCAGAACTCCACTTATTAAACAATGGTCTAAGCCATTCATACTTGTTAATATATGTTAATGGCTGATCGTGGATGTCAATTTGACACATCTAATAAAAAGAGAACTTAATGAAAAAATAGCCCCCATCGGACTGTGTGCTGTAGACATGTCTGTGGGGCATTTTCTTGACTGCTAATTAAGCCCAGACACTGAGGGAGGCACCACCACCCTTAGGCAGATGGATCTGGGCTGTCTAAGAAAGCTGGCAGAGAGAACAAGCCAGTAAGCAGCTTTCCTCCAAGGAAACTACTTTAGTTCCTGCCTTCAGTTTTCTTCCTTGACTTTCTGCACACTCAATCTGTAAATGGAAATTAACCCTTTCCTCCCCGAGTTGCTTTTGGTCATGGAAAGCCTTTCTTTTTGTTTAAACAGAAAAGAGGAAATGGTGTGGGAAGTCCTTCTGTCTATATTTTGATTTTATTGGTTAATGAATAAAGAAAACTGGCTTGGCCTATAGCATAGCAGGAAGAAGGCAGAGTTAGGAGAAGCCATGGATTAGCTGCCTAGGACAGATGCTGGGAACTTTAGCTGGTAAGCCACAGCCACATGGCCATATACAGAATACTAGAGATGGGTTAGTTTAGGATATGAGTTTAGCCAGAAATACGCTTAAGCTATTGGTCAAACAGTATTGCAAATAATATGGTTTTCTGAGTGGTTATTTCATAGTTGGGCGGTCGGGACAAGCAAGTGACCCTTCCCCCAACAGTATTTAGCACAACAGAAAGCAACTACAACAAACCTGGTTTCAGAAGATAGGGGTTGTTGGGACTGACCTGACAGTGGTTTTTGGAAGATTTCAGAACTTTGGGTTAGAAAAGTCATTGAATGCTCTGAGCTTAAAGGGCTCTTCTCTAAGATCTTAAAAGCCAAGAATGCTGAAAGAAAACGCATGCTGTAGGAAGACTTGCAGCTTGTGATTACCCGCCTACTGGGGCATGGCGTCTTATACTATATACGTGGACGCAGAACCTGCGTCTGCCCCTTTTCTTTCTCCTTTTGGCCAGCTGCTCGTTTGGATTGTTGGACTCAACCTCTGTCCACCGTTCAAGCAGAAAATTCTGATTTGTAAGTTTACCCCCAAATAAACAACTATCTATTTCTCAGTTCTGAGCTAGTGTGGAATTTCTTTTAAGCGTCCATTCATGAATAGGTCACCTCTTCAAATGCAGACAATGGAGGTCTGGCTGTGAAGCTTCAGAGTAAAGCACAGACTATCCAGGCTGTTCACGTGACAGTCTGGATTAAGACTTTACGGAAATAGCCAGTGCTGAAGAGTCATCCGCAATTATTAGGAGTACAGCATCACTGAGACAAAATCTTCTGGGAAGTATTTCCCTGAGACCAGTGCACAGTGAGGGCCAGGCTGAACTTCAAGCTGGAAGCTGAACATGACAAGATGTAAGAGCCTCACATGGTACTGAGGTTGAAAGCATGAAGAGGTCATAGAGAGGAGCTGCTGCTTTGCACCATATGGTGCAGCTGGAATTCTTGCAGAGAAGTCTGGAGCAGCTGTGGTAAAGGTGCAGCCTCAGCTGCAGAAGAAGCCCCAGGACCAATGCTGTGGGACAGTGGTCTGGACCCTGTCACTTGTATTTTAAATAAACACTGATTGGCCAGTAGCCAGGCAGGAAGTATAGGTGGGGAGACCAGGCAGGAAGTAGAAGAGGGGCAATGAGAATTCTAGGAAGAGGGAAGTTTCAGGCTGCAGTCGTCACATCACCCAGACACAGAGCAAGCAAGATGTGACTGCCTCACTGAAAAAGTTACCAAGACACATGGCTAATACAGACAAGAATTATGGGCTAATATAAGTTATAAGAGTTAGTAAGAAGCCTGAGATGCTTCACCAATCAGTTTATAATTAATGTAGACCTCTGTGTAATTTCTTTGGGACTTAATGTCTGCAGGAACTGGGCAGGACAGAAACCTCAGTCAACGACCAAGGGGTCTCAGAGAGAATTCAAGGCTTGGCACTGTAGAGAAGTGTTGGATCCCCTGGGAGAGGCAGGAAAAGCTACTGGGGCAGAAACTCTTAGACTGTCTCAGAATGGAGGAAGCAGCTGAGCACAGCATGAGTGTATTAATCCACGGCTCTCTGCTCTTGAATGGGATGTAATGTACTAGCTGCTTCAAGTTCCTGCAGTCCTGACTTCCCACGGAGACAGGCTGCCATCTGGAACTGTGAGCCAACTAAGCCTTTCTCCCTGAAGCTGCTTTTGTAGCAGAATTTATCATCACAGCAAAGGAAATGAGAGGAAGGCAGAAGACAGCAGCAGGTCTGCCGCTGTGATAACCTGACTGTGTGACTGTCTGTGGGAGGACTGGGAAGAACTGAGTGGGCCGCCCAAGTGCAGGCTAATTAGAGAAGAATGTCAGACAGACAGTGGAGGAACAAGCTCAGCTAGGACTGGGTTAAGAGTGTGTGGTAGTATGTACGGCTTCACTCTGCCTGAGTCCTGAGAACTTGAAGAAAGAAGTTAAAGATAACTGACTGACCTGCTTGACAAACTAGTGGCCTAAAGGCCACAAAAGATATTAAGGAAGAAGTCAACAGGTTCAAGTTAAGCATTGTGTCCATAAATATCTGCTTTTAAGGAAACCTGCACTGATATGTTAACAAGTCTCAAGCTTAGCACAAAGTGGGAAAACATGTTTTGTGCCAGGCAGAACTATTTAAAGTGTAGATCTTCATAACCCTCCTTCTCATCCAGTAAAGTGTATTATTACTCTGAAACCTAACACAATTCACTTACTTTTAGGAGAAGAAACAATTTTTGTTCAAATGAAATCATCTTTTATTTGGTAAGTGTTCATACACTGCTTCCTGTGAACTGGATACACAGTTACAAACCACTAACCACATACACATGACAAATATAAGGAACAGAGCCACAGTATCACAAGTAAACACACAATCTGTCTCAAGAAAGAAAATCTAGGAACAAATTTATACAAGAAAATACGTTTTTTAAGTTATAGTTTCAAAAATACCTCCCATCTGTTTATAGGATTAGAAAAGAGTTTGTTAAAAAATACAGTATTTGAAATATATCTGGAAAGACAAAATTTCTTTTCTGTGCAGTGAGAAAGGAAAAAATTCCTTGTGGAAAAACTGATATATCCAAGTTGTGACAGAAAGGGGAAAAGCCGACTGCTATGTAACATCAACACAATGTGATACTCTCTGAAGAGAATGTTAAATTTCAGTTAGAGCACTAATGGGAATTAAGGCTGAAGCAGCTGTGCCAGTGTGAGGACTTGAGCTTGGCTCCTAGGCGCCAGCACTGGTGCAGCAGAGATGAAAGGAGCCCTGGAGCTTACAGCCTAGCTAGTCTAGCTCAGTTTGTGCGCTCAGGGTTCAGTGTGAAGACACTTTGCTAATTGGTTTTTAATGTCCAACTAGACACAAACTAGAGTCATCTGGGAAGACAGAAGAACTGGAGAACTGTCACATCAGCTGTGGGCATGTCTGTGGGGAATTGTCTTGACTGATAATTTATGGGGAGGGCCCAGCCCACTGAGGCTGGCACCATCCCTAGACAGGTGGGTCTGGACCATCTAAGAAAACAAACTGAAGCCGGGCGATGGTGGCGCACGCCTTTAATCCCAGCACTCGGGAGGCAGAGGCAGGCGGATCTCTGTGAGTTCGAGGCCACAGAGAAACCCTGTCTCGAAAAACCAAAAAAAAAAAAAAAAAGAAAACAAACTGAGCGAGGTCAAAGGGAGCTAGCCAGTAAGCAGCATTCTTCCATAGTTTCTACTTCAAGCTCCTGTCCTGACTTCCCCCAATGATGGGAGTGCTACATGTAAACCAAACAAATCCTTTCTAGACCAAGTTAGTTTTAGTTAAGAGGTTTTATGGTATACCAACAGAAAGCAAGCTAGGACAGACACTGTCTGAAAACATAAACAGAGAATGGCGGAGGACAGCAGGCAACATTGCCTCTGGCCTACACATAAGAACAAACAGGTCCACAATATACCAAAGCCTGGATTAAAGGTTGCCTATGGGGCCGGGCGGTGGTGGCAGAGCCAGGTGAGTCTCTGAGAGTTCGAGGCCAGCCTGGTCTACAAGAGCTAGTTCCAGGACAGGAACCAAAAAGCTACGGAGAAATCCTGTCTCGAAAAAAAAAAAAAAAAAAGGTTGCCTATGGGAGTATCTAAAGTTAGTCAGTAGGCAATAAAGAAGCACCAGTCATTTATGGAAAGTTTAAAAGCTCTATTTTAAACAATATTAATTAAGGGCAGGAGAGATCGTTCGGGTGTTCAAAAGTGCTTCCTGCTCTTCCAGCTGACAAGATTGCACCCATGGTGGACGGCTCGCACCACCCGTAACTCCAGCTCCAGACAACCTGACACCCTCTTCTACACTCATGTGAAACACACACACACATCCACAACAACAACAACAACAGCCCATAAAAGAAAAAAGTATTACTTTCTATTAAATTTCCGTTAAATGGACCAGAAAAAGCAGGGAAGTGAGGAAGGCACAGCAGTGCATAGCTGTAATCCTAGCATATGGGAAAGAGAGGCAAGAAGAGTCTCGGCTATATCCTGGGCTTCATAAGATCTGGCATTTTAAAATAAAAACATTCTTGAGTAATTTCCACCCTTTCAGTGTGGGCAAGATCTATGACTTGCTCCTGACGAAGAACGTATGCCAGAAAAGGAATATGACATCCATGATCACATCACATAAGTTTATAGGCTTGTTGGCAGACTCTGACTCTGTTTGTGACAAAAGGATGTGGTGCCCAAAGCAACTCATGGAAACAAAACAACAACAGCAAAAAAAAAAAAAAAATGTATTTTTAAACAGGAAGCTATTGTTATAGTTCTCTTGGGCCAGGGGATTAAAGAATTAAACAGTATTCTCTTCTACCATAGTAAGAAAACACAAAAAAGTAGGAAATGCTAAAATTATTAAGAAACATACTCAAGATTTGTAAACAAAGCAAAAAAAATTGTGAGGAAAAATAAAGGCACAACATATGAATGAAAAAACTGACTTCCTTGTTCAGTCTTAACGTCCGCTTCAACTCTAAGCTACATCTGCAAGGCAAGCTTGTCCCATACTCATCTGATCACCAACAGGTCCACATAATAGAAGACTATCCTAAAAACAGTTTCAATACTAATCCCAAGAGTTTTAGGCAATCATTATTATTTTAAACTACCTTAAGTACCTAAAGTACTTGTATGATGCAATTAACATGCTAATGACAAAACTTAGCCATTTGTTTGTTTCTGAAATTAGGCATGGAGGCTCATGTCCTTTAAACTCAGCACTTGGGAGGTAGAAACAGGCAGATCTTTGAGTTCGAGGCCAGCCTGATCTACAAAGTGAGTATGAGGTCAGGCCAGTCTAGTCTACACAATGAGACCTTGTTTCAAATCAAATAAACAAACCAACCAACAAAAAAAAAAAAAAAAAAAACCTTAGAATGGCTCAGTAGGGAAGAGAGCTTGCTATCCAATCAAGAGGCCCTAAGTAGACAGCCAGGCAACCATATAAAAAGCCAGGCAGGGCCAAACACCTGCAATCCCAGCATAGTCTCATGGCAGTAAGGCAAAGAGTGGTAGGAAAAGATACCCAAGGTTGTGCTCCAGCCTCTGCATGTGCATGCTCAGGCACATGAACCTGTACATTCTGTGCATACACCACACACGGGGGGTGGGGAGGGGGTGGATGATAGTCCTCAGAAGAACAAATGCTATGTTTTTCCCTGATTATGAGGAATCTATATCCAAATATAAATATACATGTATCTATATACAAAAGGAAAATAGAATGGGCACTCTTAAATGAGAGCAAGATGTCTAGAAAGAGAAGGGAGGAAAAAATAAGAGAAAGTAATGGGAGGAGAGAAAGACAAGCTTTCTCACATACAGAACCAAAGTGTGTGTGTGTGTGTGTGTGTGTGTGTGTGTGTGTGTGTGATATCAAGGCAGACTATTTGTAAAGGGAAAGGAGTCTAGCAAGCAGGAGAGGAGGGAAGGGACAAACACAAGCAAGGTCCAACGATAGTAACAATAAAATCTATTATTCTATATGATGACTAAGAAAGAGTAATTGGAAAGACAAGCTGCAGAAGCTGGCTAGGCCTTGGCTCACATTGATTTTAAAATGTAATCAACCTTAATGCTTAGAACTTTAGAAAGCCAGATAAGAAACTTTATAATGAGGCCACTACATGTCTTACCTCGGAAACGGTAGCTGCGATATTAATACTGCTTGCCTGCCCGTTCATTAGGTCCATGCTTCCCTCATCAGTCCCTGATCCTATATCAACAGCAACAGGTCCAATTACTTCATGTCCAAGGCCACAAATACATTATTCCTGTTAGAAACAAAGAAGAAGAAATCAAAATGTGTGTCTTCCTCTAAGTTCATGAAAACAGCCAGGCCACTGCCACGCTGGGGGCAATCTGTCAGTCTGCTTAATTTTTTTTTCACTAAGCCACTGTGTTTGAAAGATCAGAAATAGGAAGTGTGTCAACAGTCACTACCAACGCAGTGAAATAAAAGTGCTACTTCACTCACTAAGAGAACACTGTGAGGGAGAAAGATCAAACTGCACAGGACTTTTAGGTTAACTAAGCAAGTATCTGAAACATGTGGCAAAGTAATACATCCCCCAACTCCGTGATGTTTTAAAGGTTCAGATGTCACCTCTAGATTAACAATACTGAAGAAGCTTGCCATTGTGGCTCTACCAAGATACCACAAATACAATATTATAGGACGTGCCACAAAACCACAACACATGGTGTGTTCATTTGTATAGGGCTTTAAGGTTTGTTGAGTGTCCTCCATCCGCTATCCCACTGAAAACATGGGTGAAAAGAGAACTCTGCACTTGCAGTGGGACAACAATGTCATCACTACTCCTACAGAACACAAAGAACAACCTCTGGGACACCAGCAGGCAAGTGAGGAAGGAGGAACACGACTCAAGACATGTAAAACTCTAGCCAAGTATCTTTGCATTAACATTGCTATTTATTTCCACTTTACTAAAATCGGAATGTTCACTTGAGATTTCAGTGTCTTTCCCAAGCAATATACCATAAATTCTTCTTTTCCATATATTGACAGGGGTAAACAGACTTAAGTTTCTTCCTAAACCTAAATATCTTACTTCGTAAAAGAAACTCTACCTTAGGTATTCAACATTATTTACCATACAAACTGAAATGTCCATGATAATCCACCAATTCCATTTCCTTTCTGTAACAAGTGCAGGCTCTGCTGGACCTGATGACACAGCCTGCACTCTCGGCTAGGCCGGGTCTGAGCAGGAGGACCACAAGTTCAAGGGCAGAGCAGGCAACCCACTGGAGGGAGAGGGGAGGTGGGCAGGCAGCAGAAATACAGCTCACAGTAGAATGTGCCTGGGTAAGGACCTAGGTTCAACTCCGGGACAGACTTCCCTCCACCTCCCAGGAAACCATGAGCTTACAGTCTACATCTGAACGCAACAAATCAGCTTTTCTGTAGTTTCCTCATGCATAAAACGGGAAACAGTAAGTGTCTACTTTGCAGAGCTGTAGTGGAGAGAACTGAACTAATATGCATTTACAGACGACAAATATGCTCCTACAACAATGCAATGAGGATCATAAAGTTTAAATCTAACAGATTCCAAACAAAGAAAAAAAGGCAAACTCTTTAAATATACTGCTGGCAATCAGAGTGTACCTGGTGAGCACCATAAGGAATCCTACCATGCAAGGAATGAGAATATGTTTCTCAGATGGACCAAACATACCCCCGGGGTTTCAAATGCTTCAAAATCATAACTAATGACAGCAGCTTTCAACAAGCACTTATTACCTTCATTTCTTCAGATTAGCCTTAGTACCTTCTAGGGACGTAACACCATATGACAATTTTTAAGAAATATTTCAATTAATAGGCTTTAGAAACCATTTACAAAATCAATATGAAAATCAAGAGCACAGAAATTCCTCACACTATCTCGCTACACAGGCTCCATTATCCTTACTATATCCTGTGAAGGTGAGGCTGACATTTGCCCTGCTATACTAGAAATCAGCTTGTGCTGGGCACGAGGATATACGTCTGAAACCCCAACCCTGTGCGGCCAAAGTAAGAGATCACAGTCCAAGACCAGCCTGAGCTATTCAAGTTCTCGGTCAGCCTGGGCTACACAGTGAGATTCAATCCTAACAAATAAATATTTTTACAATTCATTATACATTAAGACATTTGAATCAGGTTTTCTTGGCCTACTTTGAATTTTACTATCAGAGAGAGTGGGGAAGGGAGGGGGAGAGCGAGAGAGAGGAAGGGAAGGAGAAAGGGACAGAGTGTGTGAGTGTTTTGAATCAGAATCATACTCGGCAAACCAGACTGGTCTAAAACTTTACTACAAAGCCTGAGATGGACTCTGATTTTCTCTGGCAGCAGTGCTCATTTTGTAACAATGTTTTCAGATGATTTCCTCTCCTGTGTGTAGAAGAGACAAGAATGTTTAAGTCTAGAGGTCCCCCTAGTGTTAAGAAAAAAATTGACTTAATTGAATCTTTAAGCTATTTTACAGGTTAGTTACATAAATTGTACTACTATTTACTAAATAAAGGTAATACAAACTAGGAATAAATGTTAATACATTTGAATCAGGTTTTCTTTGCTTGCTTTCAATCTGTGTGTGTGTGTGTGTGTGTGTGTGTGTGTGTGTGTTCTGAAACAGATTGTTTTCATAATCCAGACTGGTCTACAATTTACTATATAGAACCTAGGTTGGTCTCAAACCTATGGTAGGTAATCCTCCTGCCTCATGTCCCATGCTTGACTTTGCCAAATTTTATTATTAAAATATTTCATAAAACCAAGTTACATTAAAATCTATTATGTGGGAAACTAAAAGAAATATGATTTATTCTTTTGGTATACATCTCAAGTTAAATGAGACAAATATATATTAGCTTGTTTCATTTTACTAGGGATATAAAGTGGCACACTCATGACTACACATATCACAATAACTATTTTCTTAGTTAAGTTCACTAATTTCAACTTACTCCCTTCTAGTTCTGAAGATATTTATTCTGGCTGTCTTCTGGGTTCTTTCCAGCCAGCAATGAGCTCCCAAGCAGAAAACCTTGAAATGTGAAGATTTAGATCCTTGCTTTAGTTCACAAACTAGATCATCAAACTGCAGAAATCAACCATTTAGCCTCCCAACTGCCCATCTTTTCAAGGGTACTTCCAATACTTCAAGTTTTTTGTCTTTTTCCTTTAATAAACAAAGGATTAAAGGTGATGGGGAAATTGGCTATTAACTGGTCTCAGGGTGGACACAGCTGCACATTCTTTCCTAAAATGCTCTATGCTATGAACAGTACAGACATATTAGCCGTCTTACAAAACGTACACTATTTTTGTTACTCAATTTCCTTCTATAATTTTGTTGAATATATTTTCTGGGCCTTTGAGCTGGAATTCTTCTCCTTCTTCTACCCTATTATTCTTAGGTTTGGTCTTTTTATGGTGTCCCAGATTTCCTGGATGTTTTGTGTTAAGAATTTGTTGGATTTGCTGTTTTCTTTGATCAATGAGTCTATTTCTTCTATTGTATCCTCAGCACTTGAGATTCTTTCTTCTATCTCTTGTATTCTGTTGGTTATACTTGTCTCTGTAGTTCCTGTTTGTTAATCCAGATTTTCCATATCCAGCCATCCCTCGGTTTGTGTTTTCTTCATTACCTCCATTTCGGTCTTTAAGTCTTGAACTGTTTCCTTTACCTGTTTGACTGCTTTTTCTTGGTTTTCTTAGGTATCTTTGAGGGATTAATTTCTTCTAACTTTTTGTTTGTTCTCTCTTCCATTTCTTTAAGGGAGTTTTTCACTTCCTGTTTAAGGGTCTCCATCATTTTCATAAGGTTACCTTTAAAGTCAAAATCTTCTACTTCTTCTGGGTTAGGATGTTCAAGTCTTCTTGTTGTGTGTTTGCTGGATTCTGGTGTTATGTTGCTTTTCAGGATGTTGGAGGAATTCTTGCATTGGCACCTGCCCATCTCTTCCTTCAAATTAGGCCAGCAGAGTCTTGGTGTCTTGGTCCAATCTTTGCTGTGGCTGACTGTGTATTTGGGAGTTTTTCGTGGTCTGCCCTCTCTTAGATCTCCTCAGCACTGGAGCAGGCTCTCAGATCCCCTGCACCCTGAAGCAGGCTGTGCTAGGAGATCCAAGGACCCCGCAGACGAAAAGGCGGGGGCTTCGGGGGCAGGGTGGAATGGGGTAAAGAAAGCCAGCAGCCAGGAACACACCCCGCTGGATGGCAAGAAAAGCTTAGGGAATTGGAGGGGGCCTGGACTCAGTTCCCAGGACCATCCGGCAGCACGGCCACTCACTCACCTCTCTCTGTTACTCAATTTCCTATAACAAGGAAACTAGGAGTGATATGAAATTAATTGTTGCAGTTTCTCTGGAACTATTTGGACAACAAAACATCACTGATAACTCTAAAAGGTACAAGTAACAGTACTGTCTTTGCATATAACTAAGGTTATTTCCTTTAGCACCTGAAACTACACATTCACCCTTCCTTCCCTGGGTTGAATGCTATACTGTAATACTCTCATTAGGGATATGACTAGCAGAGACTTACTGCTGTGTTCAGATGTCATTGCTGGGTTTGCCAGATACCCACTGCGGAGTTACTTCTTCAATCACCAACTTCAAATCAAGTAGACAAGCCTCCAGACTCCAATCTAACAAGGCTTCTAGTGTCTCCATCTCTATTCTAGCTGCAGAGTTTATACAGTTTATTCTAGTGTGAAGTTCATACAGAAGACTTTTAGTTTATACTATTGGTTTTTAAATTTTCTTTTGTTTCAGACAGGTTTCTCTGTGTAACCCTGGCTGTCCTGGCACTCATCTCCATAGACCAGACAGGCCTGGAACTCATACAGATCCACCTCTGCTTCCTGGGTGCTGGGATTAAAGGCATGCGCCACCACTGCCCCAGGCATACTGTTAGTATTTATTAGTTTATATTAACTGTCAGCATATTCCCTTACTTACGTTTTAATAATATAGACATGCTATTCACTGACTGGCTAAAATGTTGTGCATCTGTGAATCCCTTTTTATAGCACGATTTCCACGTAACCATGACTGTTTTATGGCGGCAGCATCTGCATTACTGTCATGGAAGTCTGCAAGTCCTGTGATTCCCAGTTTGACTCAAATGCCTTTAGCACAACTGGAGTTGAGCAAACTGGTTCCAGTTTTTAATGGAATTTATGTAAAATAATATCCTGTAATTTAAAAAATATTGCATTCACTTCAGAAAAAAGAAACTCTACATTTTAAA